ACTGTTATTGATTTTTAAAAAAAATTAGTAAACAGTACGTTCAGTGTATGGAATAAATAAAAGGCAGTATTAAAAATACAAACGACATTGCACTTAATCAATCCCTGCTAATTACATGATTATTTTTTTTCCAAACACCAACAAAAAGTAACAAAAAGTAAATTCTGTGTTTTCCAAATCAAGGGACGTTATGAGATCTAATGGACAAAAATGCAAATACATTTCAGACACAATTTTAGAAATTTTATAAACGTTGATACACTTATTTTTTAATTTTATGTAATGTTTATAATTGAAAATTATTATTCTAAGTAAATAAAATGAAAATTGTCTTAAAAGACTTTCAATATTAATGTTTTAACTCATAAATTTAGAACATGAGCACTATAATAATCTAACACTTGAATCCATACAATTACAAGTATCTTTTTTTTTTCGTTTTTTTCATATTCCTTTGTAATCCACGACAAATATTTTACTCACATACATACATACAGAATTGAACTTTATATATTAGATATAGATCTTGTAATAGATTGAGATAATTGTGAGGTCAAGGGAACTCACTCTTCTGTATTAGTATTATATTTATATTGTTATCTTGAGTGATGTCCCTTACATATATATAAATAGTTGTCTCTCGCCACTTCCTTCCTCTTGCTGGTACCATCATGTAGTTAGACCCAATAAACGTTTTATATACAACCACATGCTTCTATCGTCAATCTATTATATCTGGCGACGAGGATAAAAATCTACTAGAAAGAGCACCTACTTACGCAAAAAAGAGGTTTGCTAGAGCTTATTAGCTAAGTATTTCTAGAATAATGGAGCTGTATGGCCAAATAAAAGAATTTGATTCGAATGATGAAATCATTCAAGATTACCTAGATAGGTTAAGCTTTTACCTTGAAGCTAACGACGTGACGATAGAAGCCAAAAAGAGAGCTGTTTTGTTAACAGTCATAGGGCCTCAACAATTTAGGCTACTAAAGGACTTATGCGCACCAGCTAGTCTAACTACCAAGAGCTTTAACGAGCTGAGCAAATTGCTAACAGACCACCATGCGCCTACGCCATCAAAGTTTCTATGTCGAGCTAGATTTGACAGTAGGACTCGTCAACCAAACGAGTCAATATCAGAATATGTTGCTGCTTTACGTCATTTAAGTGAATTTTGTGAATTCGGCGACAGACTATGTGAAAAGTTTGTGACAGGTGTAAATAGCCCTGATATTCAAAGAAAGTTGCTGCTCGAGTCAGATCTAACATTAGAAAAAGCAATACAACTCGCAACTTCAATCCAGCAGTCATCAGATGCGGCGAAATCTCTAACGCCTTCAGGGATCCATGCAGTAAACAGCAGGTTAGTCAACAAACATCAACCCCATCAGAGCATTCCAACTTATGCTAAACAGCCTGCTCGTTCAAATCCTAGATCTAAATCTAGTAATAATTATCAAAAATGTCATCGATGCAAAGGTCCCCATGCATCTCATCGGTGCAAGTTCAAGTCTGCAACTTGTTATAAGTGCAGTAAGCAAGGTCACATTGCCAAGGCCTGCTTTGCAAAGTCTTCGTCTGTTGCTAAATCTAGCCAGTCAAGACAGTACCGCAACCAAAGGCAGCACTATGTTAACTCTCACCAAGACTACCTAACCCAACCAATGAACCACTCTACCAGTGAAAATTCTCAAACTGATTCGCAGCCGGATTTCAACCTATTCTCTGTGAAATCAATAAGTCATGCTCCCATCAATGTACCAGTTTATATCAACGGTAAGAGCATCAGCTTCCAACTTGACACTGGAGCATCTCTAACAGTCATAACAAAGAAAGATTTTGACGCTGTCACAGGAGGATCAGTGCCTCTACAGCCATGTCACAAGTGTCTAACAACATACACTGGTGACAATGTTCCGGTAATAGGAGAGTGTATGGTTCATGTAAGTTATAATGGTCAAAGTGTTAAACTTCCTCTTCTTGTGGTTGAAGGAAATGGACCACCATTACTAGGTAGGAACTGGTTAAGTAATCTTAAGTTAAATTGGGAGAGTATTTGTTCATTGAACAATGGACAAGAATCTAGTCTTACTTCACTAGATAAAGTTATATCTGAAAATAAATGTGTTTTTAGTAATCCAGGATTACTAAATGATAGAACAGTGAAGTTAAGCATTAAAGACACAAATCCAAGATACTGCAAAGCTAGAGTTCCACCTTATGCAATGAGGAATAAAATTGAAAATGAGCTAAGTAGATTGGAATCTAATGGCATCATAAAGAAGGTAGACTATTCCGATTGGGCGTCGCCCATTGTGCCAGTGTTAAAGAAGGATGGTTCTATAAGAATTTGTTGAGATTATAAAACTACACTGAATAAGCAAATAGAGCTAAATAGGTACCCTATACCTAACATTGAGGAAATTTCTTTGAATTTGGCAGGAGGAGACAAATTCACTGAATTAGACTTTAGTCATGCTTACACTCAACTAGAACTGCATCCAGATTCAAAAGTCTATACGACAATAAACACACATAAAGGACTCTACCAATATGAAAGACTATGTTTTGGCATATCATCCAGCCCTGGAATTTTCCAAGCTGTCATGGACAGTATTTTTAAGGACATTCCAAATGTTTGTGTGTACTTTGACAATGTGTACATAACTGGTAAGAATGACACTGAACATCTTAAAACACTTGATAAAGTATTGAAAATTGTTGGTGAAAAAGGTTTAAAGATAACAAAGATAAATGTCAATTCATGCTGACAGAAATTAGTTTTCTTGGTTATATATTAAGCAAGCAAGGCATCAGACCTCAACCTGAGAAAACAAAAGCCATTAAAGAAGCACCCAAACCTGAAAATACCCAACAACTAAGAGCTTTTTTGGGCTTGATAAATTACTATGCAAAGTTCATAGGGAATCTGTCTGGTAAACTATCACCACTGTACAAGCTGCTGCAGAAAAATGCAACTTGGCACTGGGGTAAACAACAAGAAGCTGCTTTTAATACAGCAAAAGAAGCTTTGTCTTCTGACACCTTACTAACTCACTATGACCCAGGGAAAAGACTTATTTTAACATGTGATGCTTCACCAGATGGTGTAGGAGCAGTCTTGTCCCACATGGATGAGAAGGGTGACAGACCCATTGCTTTTGCCAGTAGATCTTTGAACCAGGCTGAGAAAAATTATTCTCAGTTAGATAGGGAAGGCTTAGGCATCATTTTTGGTGTTAAGAAATTTCATAAGTTTCTGTTTGGTAGGAAGTTCACCATCTTTACAGATCATAAACCATTGCTAGGTTTATTTGGAGAAAACAAAACCCTACCTGAGCATGCCTCACCAAGAATTCAAAGATGGGCTATCACACTAACTGCATACAATTATGAATTGAAATACAAACCTGGATCTGAGAATAGTGCAGATAGTCTTAGTAGATTACCTTTAAAAAACCAAAGCCTGAGCTATGTACCAGAAGATGTATTTGTTCTCTTCACTATCATGGATAACTCCAATATAAATGTGAATGATATTAAAAGAGAAACACAAAAAGATGAGTGCTTAATAAAAGTATATGAGTACTGTAAGAATGGTTGGCCTGAAGAGTCTGTGAATGATGACTTAAGGCCATGTAAAATAAGAAATAAAAACCTTTGTGAAGATAATATAAAAGATGGAGAAGATGCAGTCCATCATCAGTCAGAGTTGCCTAAACAAAGTATTTGTAACTTAATAAATGATTATGGTGATATGGCAATTTCAAATACATTAGTAAGAAGGAATGTGATCATCAAACAACTTTGCTAACATCATTAGCACTTACAGAAACTAAAAGAAACAAAAAGGGTAACATCAAAAGTAAATACCAAACAGAAGAAGCTAAAGGTGACAATGAAAGAGTAAACAAGTTATTAGCCAAATACCGCACAACTCCTCATATAACAACAGATGTTGCACCATGTGAATTGCTATGTGGTAGGAAAATTAAAACTCATCTTGACCTACTACATCCAACTGTTCAAAGGTCTGTTTCCCAACATCAACATACACAAAAAGTAAATCATGACAAAACATCCATTGAAGAGAATTTGGTGTTAATGAGAATGTGTATCTAAGAAATTATGGGAGAAAGGAAAAATGGATACCAGGTCAAATTGTTCAATGTACAGGACCTGTGTCTTATAAAGTTAAAAATAACTTGTGCAGATAATAAGTGTGAATCTGTCAATCCCACCAAATCTGAACAGTTCACACCAACTCAGTTTGTTCCACAACCAAGTTCTGTTGATATGAGTGAACCAAGTTGTCTGGAGTCAGAAAATGTAAATTCTGGAGTTAATGATTTAAATCCTAGACCTCCTGAGATAGAGAATCCAGATGGTCAGAATCTTGAGTCACCAAATCAAAAGCCACTGAGAAGGTCAAGCAGGACAATCAAAGTCCCAAATAAGTTAGACCTATGATTCTAAAGGTCAAAAGGACTTTGACATCATTGTTTTGTATTTTAATTATGTTGTAACATATGGTGCATTGTTTGTAAGGATGTAATCTACCATAATGTTCATGTTACAATATATTTGGTGATTTTAGGATACTATCAATTGTTCTATTGAGAGATGTGTTATTGTGTTCTAAGGGTAAAGGGATGTAATAGATTGAGATAATTGTGAGGTCAAGGGAACTCACTCTTCTGTATTAGTATTATATTTATATTGTTATCTTGAGTGATGTCCCTTACATATATATAAATAGTTGTCTCTCGCCACTTCCTTCCTCTTGCTGGTACCATCATGTAGTTAGACCCAATAAACGTTTTATATACAACCACATGCTTCTATCGTCAATCTATTATAGATCTATATATATATATATATAGGCCCTATATATATATATATATATATATATATATATATATATATATATATATATATATATATATATATATATATAGGCCTATATATTACTGTTTTTTACTGCTATACCATTCCAGAATAATAACCGACGCTAAACTGAGGTTTTACCCCTAATATTCTAATAATGTAATACAAATGTAAAGAAAGAATGTCTCAAAGACGTTAATTCATTTGTTTAGGGACAAATCCGCCGATTGTCTTTTCGGCGTTTTTTTTAGTCAGATTTTTTTCGAATTTAGCGAGCTGAATTTATTATCTAAACACGACTTAGACTCAAGTTAGACAAGTGCAGAATCTCGGAGTCTAAAATCTACAGATTATGGTCAAGATTCTAGATTCTAGACCTACTTTATAACTTAGTACTTAGATCTACCTACTAGATCTAGATCTACAGTCAAAGGAGAAGATGAATTCTAAAGACTACTTGCAACTGAAACCATTTATTGGAAATAAGAAAGAAGGTAGGCTAGATCTAGATCTAGACTAGATTCTCTAGCTAGATCTACTAGCTAGATATCTAGATCTAGATCTAATCTAGACTAGATTCTAGTTCTAGATCTAGATTTTTTAGATCTAGTAGTTAGTAGACACCTAGATTCTAGATCTAGATTTCTAGAATCTAGATCTAGATTTTTCATTTAGATCAAGATCTAGTCTAGACTCTAGATCTTGTATTCAGTTGTTTTCAACATTTGTTTTTGTGTGTAGTTAAAGAACAGGGGTATAAAGTAAAGTATAAAAGTTAAAATTCTTGTCTCTGCTACGTTCCTTGAACATTGAATGAATAGGTAAAATAAAGCAGTCTAGCTGCTCCATTGTCAACCCCTTAGGGCCTATATTTTATTATTTTATATGTTTGCGAGATCTGTTATTTTTCCAGGTGCTTAGAAATCTAGGCCTAGGCACCATAGGTATCTTGTTCTCACCAAATATCAAGGCTCAGTTTTCTGTCACACCTGCAGGGTTTCAGAGTTTCTTCCAGGCATCTCTTCGGCCCCCCCCCCCCCCACCCGAAGAAAGTCTACCGCCCCCAGAACGAAATAGAATTTAATATTATTTATATAGAAAATATATACTTTTGACAATGCCCGCCCCCCCCCCGAAAATTTCAAGTGCACCCCCAGAGGAAAAAGTCTAGAAGAAACACTGCAGGGTTTCCTGTAAGTTCCAGATTTAATTAAAGTTGTAATTAACTAACAACCCTCACTTTGTCTTTATATGGTCATAGTTAAACTGGTGCCCTGTCAAAACGGCCTGGGACAAATCGGCCCCATCAGAACGGCCCCGTTAATATGACCCCGACAAATTGACCCTCAACAAAATGACCCAATCAAAATAGCCCCGTCAAAAGGGCCCCGACTTATTGGCTCCCGTTATATTGACTTGCCACATAAAGGCTCCCGACAATTGGACTCTCGACATATTGGCTCCCGAGAAATAGGCTCAGGACATACTGGCTCCCGACATATTGGCTCCCGACTTTAGGGCTCACAACAAATGGGCTCATGACATATTGGCTACCGACAAATGGGCTTACGACATATTGGCTAACGACAAAATGACTCCCGACATATTGGCTCCAGACAAATGAATGGTATGACCACTATTGGCATAAAAGTAAACATTTTGTCCTACCTCCACTACTACTATAGCCTCTTTTTAATGCCTGAATGAAATTGTTTTTCATGAACCAACATCAATTCTCAAACAAATCAAGCCATTAACAGCTAAAATCTATCAATTCTAAAATTTTGAGAATGTTTAAGTTATAACAGTAAAGATCTGTTGCATAAAAGTGAGCACAGAAGTGAAAATGTACGATATACATAACAGGATAACGACATTTTGTTTTGATAACCTTCAAGCATACTGGAGGTAGGAAGGTACAGCGTGGACCCTTCTCCCCGCACACTGAGTTGGAACAGTCTATAGGGCTGGTAAGTAGGTCACCAACCAGTTCTACGGCTCAATAAAAACTGCATGAGCCATAGAACTGGTTGGTGACCTACTTACCAGCCCTATAACTGACTCAATTATGGAAGTCATAGATCGATGACCCTTAAATTAAAACATACTATATTTTATAATAGATAAACTAATATAAAAATAAGGCCTACCGAACAAGAGATGCATACGTTGTATTACTTAAGAGTGTTGGATAAGCTAACTCTAAAGAATATTGATGAAGGGGTCCCACTGGCAGGTGTCATATTCAATGAGACCGCTTTGCCGGGAGACTTACACGGGATTGTCAGTGGTCCTTTTGTCTGGAGCCAAATTAACAGGAGCCTTTTTGTCGTGAGCCAAAATGACGATAGTCTATTTGTCGGGAATCATAATGACGGGGGCCGTTTTGTGGAGAAACTAAATAGCGGGAGCCTATTTGTCGGGAGTCGTAATGACGTGGGCCTATTTGTGAAAAAAACTAAATGGTGGGAGCCTGTATGTCAGTAGCTTAAATGACTGGAGCCTATTTGTCAGGAGCCTTATTGACTGGAGCCCTTTTGTCGGGAGCCTTTATGACGGGGTCCATATGTCGCTGGCCATTTTGACGGGGTCAATTTGACAGGGCTCTTATGTCGGGGCCGTTTTGACGCTGCACGAGTTAAACTATGCATTTGTTTATATAGGCCCTATCTATTGCTTTTTTTTAATGTAAGGTTTTGTCTTATTTTAATTTTGTTAACAAATAGGCCTAACTGTTCGTTTTTAGCGCAATTTCCATACGGACAATTGCGATTATTAACTCGTCATTTCTGGTGATGGATGGATGTGTGTCCGCAGCTTTAAGTCGTATCTCCTCCTCAACGAAGCAATATCAAGGACTAGTTCCAAAAGCAAATATGTTAAGCAAGTTCCGAGAATGATTGTGGGCCAACAAAATTCCCGGAATTCCTTCCTGGATTTCCCGGAAAAGCCAAAAAACCTCGAAAAAAATGCAGTTTTTGGCCCATATCTCGGCAACCAGACCACTTAGCGACTTGAAACATTTACCAATCGATTCCTGCCATAATTTAGAACAATATTGCCGAAGAAAGTTTTCAAAAATATCCTTTCGTTTGGTCGCAAAATTTTAAAAAAAATTACATCAACACCTACAAACCGATCGTTTTCCTAGCTTGAACACACCCCAGCATTATATCTATTTTTAGATAACATAAGGAAATTGCGCTTAAATTGTCACTAGACTTTTTATTAACTTGTTTTTTGTTTGCTTCAAATTCCTCTTTTTATGTATGGCTGCAGAGGAACCATGTCTCTACACGAAAAAGGTTAATTAATGAATTAATTAGTGACCAAGCAGCATATCAATTTTCTTTAATTACTGTTTACCCACCTTTTATGTAGATGTAATTTTAAGTTGCAACTATCTTCCTAGTTTTTTGTCTGTGACAAAAAGACAGACAACTAACCAACAGTCAAGGTACCAATCAGTGACCTCTGTGTTGTAATAATGTAATTGCAAATGCCTGTGTTAAGTCTATCTTAGTGGGCCTATAAGAAAAATACATTGTTTGAAATTTTAGGTCAAGGTTTTGCTGATAAACGAAAGAGAAAGGCTGCTTATGACTATTTGAAATTTCTAAAAAAGGAAAAATGTGCAGACCGAAAAAAGTTTGCTCAACAGAAAACATCAGACATTTTTTGCACTCTCAAAAGGTAACCTTATTTAAGCTACTTTAGAATTTGTTTAGCTTAATAATTCTTCAATTAAGCTCACAATACTGCAACCAAAAGATAATTTTTTGTAAGCATCTAATTAATAATGTCAAGTAATTCTCTCACATTTACTTTTTACTGGATATATAAAGTTTCATCTTAAGAAAGCCAAAAGAATTTTATTAGTAGGATCCATAAATATTTTGTAGAGTTTATTAAATTGTGGCAAATTATTTTTTTTTTTATTATTGTCTACCTGTTGCCATAATTTTATACTCCTCTTAGTACTACTACACATTTAAGCTTATATTGCCCTTACAGCATTTGCCAGTCTTATTTAATGTTTTTTAACAAAATTTGTATAATAGAGGCAAATTAGTGCTTTATAAAGGAACCATTGATCACTTTTTAAAAAATTTTATTTAAAAAAATATAATTAAGTCACATTTTATGTCACAATGCAATATCATTTATTGATCTAAATCAGGGGTCTCCAAACTGCGGCCCGCGAGGTCCTCTCATCCGGCCCGCGGAGATCTTTTTGTCCACGGAAAAAAATGGATGTTAAGGGTGACTGAGGAACTATGACCAGAAAAGTCAAAACAATTTGAAAATGTAGCTTTGGGTGCAAATATCATTGCCCGTTGTGTTGCAGACATTGGTGAAAACATTGTGACTCAAATAGCAAAAAATGCAAGCAAGTTTAGCCATTTTTCAATTGAAACGGATGAGTCGCTGGACAGCTGCTCCACCTCTCAACTGCTTGTGTTCATTAGAGGTGTGGATGAAGACATGAACATAACACAAGAGCTGACTTCCCTACATAGCATGTATGACACTGTTACTGGAGTTGATATATTCAATGAGTTGGAAAAAACAGTTGATGATTATAACTTCGACTGGACTAACCTAAGTTACATGACTGTTGATGGAAGAAAGAGCATGTGTGGCATTAAGAAAGGCTTGATTGGACAAGCAAGCAGATGTGTAATGAGAAAAGCATTCTACGACCAATGTTCCTGCACGTTATTATTTACCAGCAAGCTTTGTGTGCTCAATATGTGGACATTAGCCCTGCACTGAAACCTGTATTGAAGATGGTGAATTAAATAAGGTTACATGGACTCAACCATAGATAGTTCAGAGACATGTTGAAAGATACACACATAGAATCGCAAGATTTACCAGTAAGATGGCTAAGTTGTGAGAAAGTTCTGAGCAGAGTATTTTAGTTAAGAAAGGAAAAATGTGACTTCCTGGAAAATAAAGCCAAGCCACTGCCATTAATGTCTGATAAAGAGTGGGTATAGAAATTGGCCTCTGCTGCAAACATTAGTATTCATTTAAATTTTCTGAACCTAAAACGACAAGAGAGGGAAATCTAGTTTCTGATCTATGCACCGACCTAAAGCCCTCAGATCCAAACCTGTCATGTATTTGTAACAAGTACAGGCCAACAACTTGAAGCACTTTCAGCAGTGCAAGGTCTTCATGGCCGAAGCAACAGCTGAATCCCCCGGGTCATTTGCATGCAATATATTATCATTACGGACCTCCAGATGCAGTTTCAGTAGCGGTTTTCTGGCTTGGATTCAAAGGCAGAAGAAGTGAGACTGTTTCAAAACCCATTTGAAGACAATGTTGCCAGTTGCCCAGATGAACTGCAGCTGGGGGTCATTGAGTTGCAAGCAAATGACCTCCTTAGACATAAGTTCAAACAAGGGTGGGTGGGTTTTTATAAGTTTTTGCCCAAGGAAGACTTTTTTACTTACAACTTTTTGCATCAAGCTACCTTTCAAATTTTGCAACAACATACCTGTATGAACAAATATTTTCAATAATGAAATATGTGAAGAACAATTTGAGAACAAATTTGGACCTCGAGTGTGTTGTCGGACCCAAACAGTGTTTCTTTCTGACTTTTTTCTCCGCGGGGGGGGGGGGGGGGGGGAAGGGACTGATGACTACGACACTTGAAAAATTTGTATACATTTTATATTTAAATTATATTACGTGGGGGGGGGGGGGGGGGCTGGAAAAAACTGTGGCCCCCGAACTGATATTTGATAGTTAATGCGGCCCTCTGGCTGAAAAGTTTGGAGACCCCTGATCTAAATGATTAGTCAGGCATAAGCAGTTGAAATTTCAATGCAATTTTCCGTCTGCCCATGATAAAAAAATTCTTATGGTTTTTTTTTTTTTTTTTTTTTTTTTTTTTTTTTTTTTTTTTTTTGAGAAATCTGATATAGAGTAAAGTATTCCTTCTTGTTACCTACCTGAAATCACTGGAAATTTGAACGAAACCTCTAAATAATATCTTATACCTATTTATAATTTTGTCTATCTACTTGAAACAGTACTATTGCTATCAGTATTTTAGAAAATAGAAATAGTCTAGAGTTAAGTAACATTTCTGGATATCTTAGGTCACTCAAAGATTAAAAGTAATTCAAGTATAAGTTTTTATTCTTAAAAATGAAATTTCCTTTACCCAGCTGAAAAAGCACCTTAAAAGTTAAGTATCACTTTCGGTTTTCAAGATTTGAAAATAGAAACCTGTGCTTACAGTGTAGTTTAATACATTTATGTGAATTTCATCCACCTGACTTGAACATTTCTCAAGTTATTGGCCTTTGAGAAACCGGAAGTAGAGCAAGTACCACTTCTGGTTTATTAGAAATCGCAAAGAAGTTGATATAGAAATACAAATTTGATATATTACTTATAGCAAAATTATTTGTCAATATAATTGAAATGGTACCCTAGTTTTTTAAAACTGAAAAGCAGGCTCAATTTTTATCCCTAAGGGTCGAATGCTTAGCCATAAAAGTGTATATTCCTGAGCAGTCTAGGAAAGCTATGTCGGCCACTGCCAAGAAAATTACATTTTTAACCCACACCTTTCCCCGCGGATCTAGTCTAACAATGGTTGTAGCCATGTTAAGATTGACTAAAAAATTAAAATGACTCGTCAACCATATATTTTTCATATGTTTTGGTGTTTAAGATAATTTAATTTTAACTTTAAGTGCCGAAGATTATCTATATATATAAAAAGCAATGTATGTCTGTGTGTCTTTTATGCATTACTACACTCTCATCACATCGCTATGAACTTTGGGAAGTTGTTAAGAATATTGCTGGGTAGGTTTCTGCGAAAAACATTATTTCAAATTCGCAGGGGTGGCGCCCCGCCAGGGCGCGATTTGTTTTTTTTTCTATATACGGTATATAAAAACTAAAAGTTTATTTTGATTTGAAACCATTCATCCGATCGCCATTAAACTTGGGTGAGTTCATTAGAACACTCTGGGGAAGGGTTCTGTAAAAAAAATCACTTTTAATTTTGCAAGGAGGGTGCGATTTTTCTCTATATACGGTATTTAAAAATAAAAGTCTATTTTGATTTGACACCGTTCATCCGATAGGCATGAAACTTTGGGGAGTTCTTTATAACAATCTATGGAAGGGTTTAGCAAGGGAGTTTGCAATTTTTCTCTACATGTGATATATAAAAATAATAAAAGTGAATTGTAGTCACACTGTTCACACGATCGTCATGAAACTTTGGGAAGCTGCTAAGAGTATATCTGGTGAGGGTTATAAAAATAAAAGTCGATTGCAGTTTTACACCTTTCAATTCATCCAATCGCCATCAAACTTTGAGGAGTTGATTAGAACACCCTAAAGAAGTGTTCTGTAAAAAAATTGCTATTTTCGCAAGGGCGGCGCCACAGGGGGGGTGCTATTTTTTTTCTCTATATATAAAAATAAAAGTCGATTGTGGTTTGATATCATTCATCCGATTGCTATCAAACTTTGGGGATTTAATTAGAACACTTCAGGTGAGGTTTCTGTATAAAAAAAATATTTTAATTTCGCATTGGCGACGCCACAGGATGGTTGGATTTTTCTCTATATACAGTATATAAAAATAAAAGACGATTGTGGTTCGACACAGTTTATTTGGGTGCTATAAAACTTTAGGGAGTTATGAATACTCCCGAGAAGGTTTCTGGGGTGGGGGGGGGGGAGTGGTAGTTGGAGGGTGGATTTAATTTTGCATGGGTGGCGCCCCGTCAGGATGCGATTTGGTGCCCTGGTCTTTCCCGTGAGCGCTATAGCGGCTACAATTGGTCTAAACAGTGTGATAGACAATGGATAGGATGGGGCGTTACAAACGCTCACAAAATTGAATCAAGCGTGTCCGCCGGCACCCTGGTAGGATGCGATGTGGCTGCAAAAAAAAATTTCAGTTTCCATCCTCAAAGGCTCACTTGGGTCGCTGAAGGCCATGTAATACGCTTTATTTTAATAATCAGAAAAATTAACCAAGGTTAGATTATTAACTGGATGTTTCTTTGTCTCTGTATAAAAATCCAAACAGTTTGGTCACTTTAGACAATCCAATCAGAAATTGAGATTGAGCATCTAATAATAGACCATTAGTAACGCTAACATTGCATCAGTCACATTGATGTTTAAAACATGTCAAATACATTTTTAAAGTGTTAAATAAACAATCCTGTTCATTTGTGTCACTTAAGCGAATGACGCAGTCTGCATCATTGTTAAGAGGAAACTATTTGGCAGTCTGGGTTATCCTATGAGCAAGACGGCGCCTATTAATTTTAAGGAGCCAGGGGCCGTACGCAGTGCCTATGCGGTAGTGTTATCAGGGGGGGGGGCTCCCAAGAGCGCCCCTCTACGTCCCTGGCACATGGGCGGTCACCGAAGTGTGTTCTACCTCATTATTTCGGTGAGTGATTAATGTACACTCAAGGTTTTCATGCTGTAGTGTAGGTAACCCATGTCCCGATATTTTACATTGTTTATATTTAAATAACTCACTTTTAGAAAACAAGGTCATGAGTCTAAGACATGGATGACACCCTTCTTATATATTTCGTTGGACTTTCTTTTATTCCCGCGTCAATGCGCGGGGACGGGTACGCTAGTTAATTATTAAAAAAACATTAGATATTAAATTTAAAAAGGAGAGCAAAGTATGCAATCCCCTGGAGAACTTTGCCTATATATGATGAGCTCTAGTGCTGTGACTCAGTAAGTCGGGTAGGCCTACTTACCAGATCTAGGTAAACTTTATGACAAAGTAGCATACATGGTTGAACCATGAAATAATTTCAGGTCAGCAAAACAGATTTATGTAACAATTGTTATATTATTAAATGGATTACATTCTTATTTTAAAATCAAAGTTTAACACTGTTAAGTTTTTATTTTTTGTCACCAGATTCAATGACAAAAATCCTCACAGATATAGTAGTGCAGAGAAAATAGCAAAAAAAAAGAAAGAGGAAAAGAATAAACAAGTAGAGGTAATGTAGACATCTATATATATATATAAATGAAAGTGTTTGTGTATGTGTGTCTTATACATTACTACACCTTTCATTCGATCACCATGAAACTTTGGGAAGCTGTTCAGAATACTTTTTAGCACTTGGTATCTGTTATTCAGGCTTCCTGCCATGGTGATTGCATGTCCCAAATCAGACGGTGTATATATATATATATATATATATATATATATATATGTATATATATATATATGTATATATATATGTATATATATATATATGTATATATATATATATATGTATATATATATATATATATATATATATATATATATATATATATATATATATATATATATATATATATATATATATATATATATATATATATACATACATATATATATACATATATATATATATATATATATATATATACATACATATATATATATATATATATATATATATATATATATATATATATATATATATACATACATGTATACATAGATACATGTATACATAGATACATGTATACATAGATACATGTATACATAGATACATGTATACATTGATACATGTATACATAGATACATGTATACATTGATACATGTATACATTGATACATGTATACATTGATACATGTATACATAGATACATGTATACATAGATACATGTATACATAGACATATACATGTATACATAGACATATACATAGATACATATATATATATATACATAGATACATATATATATATACATAGATACATATATATATACATAGATACATAAATACATATATATATACATATATATGTACATATATACATATATATACATATATGCATATATATACATATATATATACATATATACATATATATACATATATACATACATATATACATTTACATATACATATATACACATATATACACATATATACACATATATACACATATATACACATATATACACATATACACACATATACACATATATACACACATATATAAATATATACATATATACACATATACACATATATATACATATATATATATACACACACACACACACACACACACACGTATATATATATATATATATATATATATATATATATATATATATATACATATATACATACATATATATATATATATATTTATATATATACAAACATACATATATATATATTCATAGAGATATATATATATACATACATACATACATATATATATATATATATATATATATATATATATATATATATATATATATATATATATAATTTGGTATTTAGGGGTTAACGCTTTTACTCCTTAATTATAATCATTAAACAGATGTAACCATGTCAGGTATCTAAACTTTTTATTTCCACTGTCTTTGACTACACACAAAAATAAAAGAAGAAACTATTTGGATAAAACACGGGTTCCCAACCTGGGGGTCGCGAAGGTCTTTCTGGGGGGTCGCCAACTGGTATACTAAACCTTAGTAATTTGAAATAAAACATAAATATTTAGAAGAATTTTTGAAATTCGGCTTCATTAACATCACTGGAAATGTAATAGAGAAAAAACAAAGCGCACTGTACAAAGTTGTTCTCAGTCATGAATCTATGAAATCTTCAAAACTAAAACGTCATTTGAGATGAGTCATTCGGAACACACCAAAAAATATATGGAGTTCTTTAGTCGGTAAGAAGCTAGTTGTAAACGTCAGAGAAGTTTTAACCTGCATTAGTGCAAGCATCAAATGAAGTCGCGATAGAAAATGCCAAGCAAAAAAAAAAAAAATAGAAAATCTCATCAAACGCTGCATGTACGTAAATGTTAAATAACACATTTTTATTAAAATTAAGCTTTCAACATTGTTTGCTTTCCAAGTTGATAAATCAACAGACGTGAGTTCGTGTTGGCAGTTGCTGGTCTGTGTCTATATTCATGCGGATGATAACAAAGAAGAGTTGCTATTTTGTGAAGATAGCATGGAGAAAATAAATACGTTTTTTTTTTTTAACGGGATGATTAAAATGGGTTAGACCGGCTGTGGGGGTTTGTACGGATGGCGCGCCATCTATGTTTAGCTCAAAATCGGGCTTTCAGAAAACAAAAAAGATTTAGTTCCTTAACCACTGCCCTAACCAATCGCCATCAAGAGTCCAAAACTAGTATAAGTCGTAAATTATATAAAATCTGCAGCCTTCAAAGAACTGAGCAAAAACATTATTATAGATCACGAGGTTCGGCTCTTCTACACTACAGTACTCTGGCTGTCAAACGAAATATTGTAAATTGTGTTTTTGAATTGAAATCTGAAATCAAATTGTTCTTGGAAGTGCAAAGGAAACAAGACTTTTTGGTATACTTAAAACAACATAGAGTGGTTGGAGAGAGTATCATACATAGCAGATGTGTTCGAACATCAAGATTAGCTTAACCTGAAGCTTCAGGGAAAATGAACAATATTATAACTTTCCATGATAATCTCGGGGCATTTTTATCAAAGCTGCAAAATCGGTAAAGAAAATAAATCTTGGAAATATTGTAAATTTGAGAAACTCTGCGGTGTGGTAGATGAATCTGATTGTGAGATAATTAAAATTTTGAAAGAAGCAATTTCTGGGCATCTTGAATCTCTTGAAAATGAACTGCATCGCTATTTCTCTGAGCTGAAAAAAGAAGAATCTGCATTTACGCATTACCCATTCTCTTCTTCCCTTAATGTTGCCAGCATTCCTGATGAATTACAAGATGAATTCTTTGATTTGCAGAATGATTCCGAGTAAGATGAAAAACTGCAGACACAATTTTGGTGTAGTATTCACCATTCATACCCAAACGTAAAATTGATTGACTTTTCGAGAATATATTTTCAACACTATTCTTCGATTAAAAACAAAATTAAGATAATTATAATGACATAGGTTGGCGTTAACAAAATTTTTTTAAAATTAAAAACTTAACCACGCAGGTTTAGTGAATAGTATGCAATTTTACTCATGCTATTAAAACAGTTATCAAGAGTAGTTCATATTAAAAGTCTACTAGAAAATCTTATTTTAGTGCTTATTACTTTCCATACTAATTTCGGCTTTTTAATTCTATGGGGGTCGCGGGTCACTTACTTTTTATAAAAGGGGGTCGCCACTCGAAAAAGGTTGGGAACCACTGGGATTAAAGAACCATTTCTTAAAAATGTATACTAAAATAAAAAATTACCATTCAATTTTTCCTACATAAAGGGGTATAGCTGTGTCAGAAATTTCTTCATTTCTTTTATTACACTTTTTAAAAAAAGTGATAATAAATGGAGGTCCACAAAATTTGGGATTTTAGACACGAGTCCACTTTTGACAATGTCCCCCCTCACATACTTGTAAAAATGTGCCATTTTTTTAGTTGTGTGGTATACTGTTACATCTCCGATATATGTATTCAGCAGTTGAGCTGGTGGTTTTTTTTAACCCTTTAAAGCGAGCACCATGTGGCCTTACGCGTTATAAGTTATATAACAGGAAAGCCACGAACTTGGCTTGGCGCGCTTTCAGGGTTAACACAATAAGCTGCCGATTTGATTCATACATTTTGTATGCAGTTTTTATTTAATTTTTTTTATTTTAGATGTATTTTGGGCGTCCACATACACTCACCCCCCCCCCCCCCCCCCGCCACTGTCCACAGAGTAACATTTTTTCGCCCCTGACACCAGGGCGGTCGATGAAGTGTTCTTATTCACTATTACGATGAGTCATTAATGTAAACTCAAGGCTTGTATAACAGCACGCCCACATTGGTGTGCTGGGTGGTAGTTAAACTCATGCCCTGATAAGTATGATCCAAGCTAAGCCATTGTTTCTGTTTAAATAACTTAGTTTTAGAAAACAAGGTCCCATCTCAAAGAATTTGGAATTGGTAACACAATGATGAAACCCTCCTAATATATTTTGTCAGACTTTCTTCTAACCCCTCCACAACGCACACGGATGGGCAAGCTAGGAGGCCGATGTATACAAAAATATACATTCACATAAGCATACATATTAGCTGCATACCATTGCTTCACCACAGTGTGAAATTTAAATAACTTTTACTGAAGGACAGAAAAATAAGCACAAAATAAGATCTCTTTTTTAATCTTGTAAAATAAATTTGAACTGCACCCATTAAAATGAGGAACTGGAAGCACAATTTATAAACCTGATGTTTAAAACGATTTGAACAAAGCCTGTAATGTAACTAACTATATTATCCTAACTACTGTACTTGTTTGTGGTTTTCATATTTGTTTAGCCACAAATTCCTTTATTTAAGTGTCTTAATCATTACACTTCAACTTTTATGGAAAAGTCTGCAAGAATTGTTTTTAAAAAAACATAATGATCTCTAGGTTAGGCCACTAACCAGAGCTTTGGGCTAATCTCTCCAACTGTCCCCAGGTGTATCCAATCTCCTTAATGTCTTCTTCAAGGTCATGTCTCCAGGTCTTTCTTGGTCTGCCTCTCCTCCTCCTGCCCTGTGGATTCCAGGTGAGGGCCTGTCTTTTTATGCTGGATACAGGCTTCCTGAGTGTGTGGCCAACCCATTTCCAATTTCTCTAGAGGATCTCTACTTCAGCTGGCAGTTGATTTCTCCATTGCCATAGAACAGGGGTCTCCAAACTTTTCAGTCCAAGGGCCGCATTAACTATCAAATATCAGTTCGGGGGCCAGTTTCTTCCAGGCATCTCTTTGGGGTGGCGGGACCCCGCCCTCCTCACCGAAGAACACATATCCCCCCCACCCCACCCCCAACGAAATATAAATTATATAGAAATATATAAATTTCAGCGACTCATCCATTGTAATTGAATAATGGCGAAACTTGCTTGCGTTTTTCACTGTTTGAGCCACAATGTTTTCATCGTCTGCAACACGGTGGGCAATGGTATTTGCACCCAAAGCTATATTTTCAGATCGTTTTGAATTTTCTGAGCAAATTTCCTCAGCCACCTCCATCAAACATTTTTTC